ACTGGCTCACTCCCCTGCTCAGCCTGCTTCCTTATGCAACACAGGCCCACCTGCCCAGGGATGGCACCACCCACAGTGGGCTGGGCCTTCCCATATCACACAACAGTCAAGAAGATGCCTCACAGACATGACCACAGGCCAGTTCAATGGAGGCAATTCCCCAACTGAGGCTCCCTCAACCTAGGTGTATCAAGTTGACATTAAAGCTATCTAGCACAGTAGGTTTGTTAGCTCTCCAGGGAGATTTGAACTCCTGTTCCGTGCCACTAGAAGCAGTTAAATCATCTGGCTATTTTTCACATTATAGCAGGCAGTCAACATGTTTTAAGCAGAGGAGAATCAGGTGACTATATCAAGTAACAATTCACAGCAATCAACAAACCAGACAGAGCAGTGTGGGGAAATAATGGAAACCCTTCCTGAAATAACCAGGAAAAGAGTGACTTCCTTTCAGCATCCACTTAATAAAAATAGTCATGGAACCTGCTACAGAGACTAGCAATAACGATGGTTAGAATGCACAGTTCTAGCAAGTAAGGGGCAAACCCTTTCTACACAGAAAATCACCAAACCAGACAAGTCAGGTGCTCTCAAGCTGGGGTTTCAGTCGCCACTGTGATGTCAGGCCAGACACCACAAACATTTCCACTGACTCATCACCTGACTAGTTCATGGTGACAAAGGGGAAAACGAAGTGAAGACACAGCAGCAGCAGCATAAAGTAGGTATTTTGGAATTTCTCACAGTATGTATGGGCTACAGACATCAAACCGAACCACACAAACAGCAACCCAGGGAAGGGCGGGCCAGGGCTGCTACAGGGTGGTTAACAGCTACAGAGTCTACTGTCTAACGCCTCCAATATCCTCCTAACTACTTTCCCACTTAGTTGATCAAATGGGTAAGGGTCATTCAGAAGCATTTATGTAGCCATGACTTTGTGATCCAATGAGGTTAGCATCTGAACATCCCAACCTCAACTTCTGTGGCAGGAGACACAGGAAAGACATTATGGCCCCAAATCTAGGGGCAATCCTGGACAAAATTTTTAATGTTATGTAAGTTACACATAATTCTTGACTCAAAAACTTGGCATGGAGATTGCATTTTAAAAAATAAAGTGCAGGCTGAGAATGACACTGAGTAGAGCATCTGTAGGCATGAGAATTTGAGCTCACACAGCACCGCCAAAAATTAAAATTAATAAAGGTATGGTCTCAGTTAAGTAATCTAAATTGACGATCAGAATGGCAACCATGAAGTTACAAACGGGTGGCAAAAGCCAGTAAAAAGTCCTAGCCTTTCATTTATCAGAAGATCTTCAATGGGGCTGGAGAGATGGCTCAGAGGTTAAGGATGACTGACTGCTCTTGCACAGGACCTGGGTTCAATTCCCAGCACCCACATGGCAGCTACAAACCATCTTAATTCCAGTTCCAGGGGAATCTGAAGCCCTCTTCTGACCTTTGTGGCATTGCACGACACGGGTGCACTCACATACATGCAGGCAATACACTCATACACATAAAATAAAAATACATAAAATATTAAAAAAAAAAAAAAGAAGAAGAAGAAGAAAATCTTCACTGAATGCCCTTCATGTGCCAAGGGGCCCTAGCTGCTAGGGGAAATCTGTGTCCAGAAGACACAAATAAACCCCTTATCATAAGAGAGCTTAGACTAACTGAATGCACACTTTTTTGGGGGGGGGGCTTTTTGAGACAGGGTTTCCCTGGAGCCTCAGTTGGCCTGGAGCTCGCTATGTAGACCAGGCTGGCCTTGAACTTACAGAGATCACCTGCTCTGCCTCCTGAGTGCTGGGATTCTGAATGCACACTTAATATAGAGACAACTAGTTTTGTTCAAGAGTTGATCCTCTCCACCTTTAAAGTTTTTTGAGATGAATTTATACAATCATTTCAAAGTGACTGTTCCAACTACCTTTAGTATTTTCATAGTACTGTGCAGCACCATGAACATCTAAACCCAAAGTATTTTTCAACTCAAAGTAAAACCCTTCATCTTCTAGCAATTTTTCTCAGTATAAGGATTAATTTTAATTACAAACACTTCCAGATGAATCTATTATCTAAGCATGCCTGTATTTTAGGGCAACAGAGCCTTCTTTAAAATTGTTGCACTTAAGTAGAAACATCAGTAAATTAAAAGAATCATACCCTAAGCTGGGCATGGTGGCGCACGCCTTTACTCCCTCCCAGCACTCGCTCTTCCCTCTCTGCTCTCCAGAGGCAGAGGCAGGCGGATCTCTGCTGTGAGTTCAAGGCCAGCATAGTCTACACAGTGAATTCCAGGACAGCTGGGGCCTACAGGGAAACCCTGTCTCAAAAAGACCAAAAAAAGAAAAAGTGGTAGTGAAATCCTCTGGAAATAATTACATTTCAAAAAATATAACAAAGACTAAGGAGATAGCTCAGTGGGTAAAGTGCTTGCCTTGTAAACACAGAATCTGGATTTGATCCCCAGCACCCATGCAAAACACACACACACACACACACACACACACACACACACACACACACACACAGAGTTTGCATGTTTCCTTTAAGTGATAACTAGTGGTTATACAGGGTGTTAGGAAATACCTGCCATGTTTAGAGGGGTCACGATGCCCGGGGAGGACCACTAAGGACACAGTGGGAGGAAGTGGAGATGTAAACCATCCTGTCATGGACTCAAGAGATGCAAGTTACTCTCAAAGTTGTTTAAGGGGGGGGGGGGGCGTGTAGACAGCAATAAAGGAAGATACCTGATATGACCTCTGGCCACCACATGCGCACAGACCTACATACATGTACACACAAGCCTCTTTATCATTGCTCAGTCTCAGTTTTAATCTGTGTTCTTACCATTTCAACATCAATTTGGGTAATCTTTCTACATATAGAAGTTTCTGAAAGAAGATCAGCATTACTCACTACCATGACTGAAACTCTATTATCATCACTGGCTGGAGACCTCCTAACAATGAGGAACTGGAGCTGACTCAGGCTTCGGGTGACTGCAATGGCATTTTACATTTTTACTTAGATACATCTATGCAGCTGTGGGTCATTTGCTGGGTTCCCCCAGTAGAACTGCCAAAAAACAAAACAAAATGACAATAAATAGTATTTATGTGGAAACGAGGACAAAGAATACAACATTTTTTATTCTCTGTCTTCAACTTTACTTGACTTTCCAGTGCTGAGATTCAGGTATGGGCCACCACACCCAGCTTATATGACGCTTGGAAAAAAAAAAAAAAATCAGGGCTTTGGCTGGAGAGATGGCTCAGCAGTTAAGAACATTGGCTGCTCTTGCAAAGGACCCAGGTTCGGTTCCCAGCACCCACGTGGTGGCTAACAACCTTCTATAACTTCAGTTCCAGGGGATCCGATGGCTTCTTCTGGTCTCTGTGAGAACTGCATGTATGGGACACACTTAACTATGGCCTCTTCTGGTCTCTGTAAGGATTGCATGTATGGGACATACTTAACTACACACAGGCAAAACACAAAATAAAAACAACTTAGGGCTTCATGCATGCTAGGCAGGCACTCTACCAACTGAGCTACATCCCCAATTGAAGTCTCCAAATTTTTAACATCTGAAATGCTGGCATTACCTTTTTTTTTTTTTAACAGCAAAATATAAACATACCATCTAAAATTTATACAAAAAAATTAAAACCAAAACAATCCTATGGTTGGGCTTAGTGGCATCAACCTTTAATCCTAGAACCCAGGAAGCAGAGGGCTCTCTTTGAGTTTGAGGCCAGCCTGGTCTACATAGTGAGTTCCAGGCCAGCTGGGACTACAGGGAGACCCTGTCTCCAAAAGACCAAAAAAAAAAAAAAAAAAAAGGATGGGACATCCTTAGGGGAAAGGAGAGGAGTGAATGAGTTCTCACTGCCCCGGGGAAAGCAGTTAGCAAGAAGCACTGAACCCCTTCTTTCCTCAAGGAATAAATGATTTACAGAAAACAGTAGCAAAGCATCTTGAAATACTTAGGAAGAGAAAAATTAAATTATATCACAATAGGTTTAAAGCAGGTGAGAGTTCAGAGGGAATGGGACTGGTCAGGTTTAGGACTGCTGAAGACAAGAAGACAAGAGATCACACATACGGAGGCTCATCATACTTCCCTGGTTTCCCATTTCTTTGTAGATTCCAATGAAAAATTTAGCAGGAAAAAAAGGGGGGGGGCTGGAGAGATGGCTCAGTAGTTAAGAGCACTGGCTACACTTTCAAAGACCTGCGTTCAGTTCCCAGCACCCACATCAGGTACCTTGCAACTACCTGTAAGGCACTGCATTCATGTGCAAACCTCTCCCCTAGACTTACAGACACACACAAACTCTTAATTAAAACTAAAATCTTCAAGGGCTAGAGAGATGGCTCAGCGGTTAAGAGCACTGGCTGCTCTTGTAGAGGACCAGGTTTGATTCCCAGCACCCACATGGTGGCTAACAACTGTCTATGACTCCAGTTCTAGGGGATCCAACACTCTCTTCTGACCTCTGCAGGCATTGCACAATATGGGTGCACTAACACACATGTAGGCAATATACTTACACATAAAAATAAACTATAAAAAAAAATAAGATCTTCAAAAATGATTTAGTATGCTGGGCATGGTGGTATGCACCTTTAATCCCAGCACTTGGAAGGTTGAGGCAGGAGGATCTCTGAGTTCTAGGCCAGCAAGACACTGTTGTCCCTCCCCAACAGAAGAGCAGCTCTACTCTTGTATCTAATGTTACTTAATACTAAAAGTCTAATACATTTAGCACATTGTTCTGCCTATCACAGAGCAATATGTGAGTAGATAACATCTCTTGGCCACAGGACACTGTGAAGCAGAGGCTCAAAGCTGCGGAAGAGGGGACGGCAAAACTTTCTAACTACTTGATCCTCTCTCCCAGTAAGAATTCAGATCCAGAGGACAGGAGCACAGGGCAGCTCCCACACACGCTGTTTAACTTCACAGACTGGACTTACCTGATTGCTACATTGCTTCCATCTATAACAATATGCTTCAGATCTGTTCTCCCTGGTTCATTTTTTAACTCCAGCTTGTAGGGTATTTTTAGAGTATCTCGAAACCTTTGAACCCCTGTAACTGAGGAGTCAATGCAATCAGAAGATCCCGCCAACTGTGTATCAGTGACTGAAGGTAACAGCTGGGGCAGTGGCAATGGGGGACAAAGAGGTGGATGACTTGGCTTAGCCTGAGGAGAGCTACAACATCCCGAACGATTTTCACAGGCAGGTTTCATGTTTGGAAGCAAGGGTTCTGCTTGATGTTGATAACCATTTTCAGGAAAAACTGGAATTTTCTGCTGGTGGCTTAGAGCTCCCCTGGAAACAAAACTGACTTCTTTAGGACTTGAGGAGGCAACAGAAGGCGAGAGGCCATCAGTCTCAAGGTCTCTAGGAGAACTGTAGCTCTGGTTTGTACCCCAGGTTTCATGTTTCTGTTCTACGGGTCCTGTTCTGAAAGTACTAATTTTGCAATTTGAGGTACATGGTTTAGAGTCTTTGATTGGTAACTGAGAAAATGTTTCCACCATACTTTGCTGTGTGTGACTCTGAGTTTTCTTTGGAATACAATCTGTTGTAAGCTCATTCATGCTGCTACCAACACCTTTACTTTTGGTCTGATTGTCACCTGGATACGTAGAGACAGGTAAAACTTCTCTGTTTTCTTGGAGCCTTTTATTTTCTTTTTCAATTTCCTCTAACAGCAATAATGGTTCTGTGGAAGGCCCATACTCCCTAATGACCTTTTCAACAATTTCTTGGGAATAGCCCATGGTTTTAAAAAAGTTTACAAGGATGTTATATTCCATTTCCTCTGTAGTGTCTTTTCCATCTGGGCTTAGACTGGAAGAATTGGTAGAAGCCTCAGATAGGTCAATGATTTCATTTCCAGTGGATGCCTTACCATCATGTAAAAGCTCTTCTTCTGGAAGGTTCTCCAAAGAGAACTGCTTCTTGGTATGCCTTTCCTCCGAGTCAGAAGATCTCCTTTTGTGACAAACTCTGTCTTTCGAAAGCGCCTCTTCATCTGGACTTAGACCATTTACCGGAACAGAAAGCACATCTGGCGAAGGAGAAAAGACTGTGTCCATCTGCTTCGTAAGCTCAGAAACAGGGGTCCCCGCTTTGTTCCTTGCCTCATCCTGTAAAGCAATTTCATCTCTAGCAACATTCAGTCCTGTGGCAGCATTCTGTGGAAATTCTGATGGCTGAGCATCTTCAATTTCAATAACATCATTATTACTTCCTGTTTCAAACAGATTCTCTTCACCTTGTGTAAGAGCCAAAAGTTCCTTCTTCAAGGAAGTGGGCAAAATCAACAAATCCATTGTATAATTGTCTGCATGGGCTTCAACAAATTGTTTGAACTCCCGTTTTACTTCTGACTCTTTCTGACTGCTGGGCAGCATCTCATTACTCTCAAAGAGCTTTACAAACTGCTGAATATGGCTCCTAGCCATGACCACAGCCTCAGCACTTCCTCTGATGCCAAGAAGGCCAGTGTCTAGAATGCAGAGGTCAGCACAAGTGTCCTGAATCAAGCTCTTCAGAAACAGACTCTGTGCCCCAACGAAAATGCAGTGCATGGCCTTGGGGTAACATTCTTTCTCTTCTAGTTCAGGCTCACAGATCCCTTTGATGTATTCCTGTGAAGAGAAGTTAAAATTAGGCCATTTTACCAAGTTCCTTTTAGGGTACATGAACACATATCCGCAAGAATCAGGCTGATTTTTAAAAAAATCATGGGTATGTTTATGATTTGGAGCAAAATGCCATAATTTCAAACTAAAACATTGAAAATCAGCCGGGCGTGGTGGTGCACACCTTTAATCCCAGCACTTGGGAGGCACAGGCAGGTGGATCTCTGTGAGTTCAAAGCCAGCCTGACCCTCTACATAGTGAGTTCCAGGCCAGCTAGGGCTACAGGGAGACCCTGCCTCAAAAAAACAAAACAAAACAAAAAACAAAAAAACCCTGAAAATTACATCTCTACATTACTTAATCATCTTTAGAGGAATTGAAAACTTTGCATCTGTATCTACGAAGTGGGAATATATAATAACATTTCAGCTGTGTTTTAAAGTGTGATCTTAGGGGTTTGCCTAGCTACACAGTGGAGAATCCCAAGGCTGGATGCACTTATATGTCAGGAACATCTTGCTACCAGTCATCTTTCACTACGATACACTCCTGAGATGCAGAAGAGTTGGCACACTAAGTATGTTAGATATAGATTTAAAAAAAAAAAACAACCCACAGATGTTCTTCATGAAGCTTAGTGAGTTTTCTTAGAAGCATGAACATGAAGTGTTGGAATCTGCCAAATGATTTTCAGCATCAAATGATATCTTCTCTTCTTCCGCTCATTAATATATAGGTCACAGTAACCAAAGGTTCCTAGCAAATCAGCTTTGAACACCCAGAATAATCCCTCCTTGGTCATAGTGTAAATATCTCTTATAAATTGCCAAGTTCTATTTTAAAGATTTTGTTAGGAACTTCGATATAGAGGACTCTGGTCTACAGTTTCCCTCTTAGGTTCTGCCCTGTCCTTATCTAATTTTAGCAGCAGGGTGATACTGGCTACAAGTGTTCTCTCTTGCATTTCCTGGAAGATGCTGCACAGAAATGTTAATTCTGTTTGAAACATTTTGTAGATTTAGTGAGACAACTAAATCTGGAGATTTATGTAAATTGAAAATTAAATTTCCTTAAAACTTAAGGGTATTCAAGTTATCTATTTCAGACTGGTGTGCTGTGGGAGGTTGTATTTTTTGAGGAAATGCTTCCTTTCACCTTCGTTGCCAAATCCATGTATACAGAGTGACAGCAGCACCTTTAAAAGCTTGAGGATGGTCTGACACTCTGTGGCTTCATTCCTGGACTCAGTAATTTGTGTCAGTGCTAAGGGTGTGTTGATTTTACTGATCTTTTCAAGAATGAACTTTTAGTTTTCTCTACTGCTTCTGCGTCTTGTTTCATGGTCTCTGCTTCAACAGTTATTTCTTTCCGTTTGCTCTAGGCTTCTTCCACTCTTATTCTGGTTCCCTGAAATGAGAGCTGAAGTTGAGTCTTTCCTTTTCTTCCTGGAGACAAGGCTCATTCTGTAGCCCAGGCTATCCTTGAACTCATGGCAATGCTCCCACCTCTATCTCCCAAGTGTTAGGATTAAGAAGGATTACAAGCATGACCACCACTCATTTTTTAATTCTTTTCTAATATATATATTTATGTCTTATAAATTTCCCTATCAAGCCAAGCATGGTGGTCCATGCCTGTAATCCCTGGGGAAGCAAAGGTGAGAATCCTTTGTGAGTTCCAGGCTCACCTGAAGATCTATGTAGTTGAATTCCAGACTAGCCAAGACTACATGGTGACACTCTGTCTCAAAAGTCAATAAAAACATAAATAAATTTCCCTTTCAGCAGTTCTTTTTAGTGGCAACTTTATTTCTCTGTAGTTCAATGCACTTCTAAAATTTCCTTTAAGGGGCTGGGGGTGTAGATCAGTGGTAGAACACATGCCAGCATATCTAAGACCCTGGGTTTATCCCCAGTACTGGAAAGAAGAACCGACACCTCTGAAAGATCTGTGTCCTTCCAAAGAAAAGAACAGGAAAAAAAAAAAAGGGAAATTCCCCGACCTGTAAATTATTTAGAAGTATGTTGTTTGAATTCCAATTTCCAAGTATTTGGAGATTTTCTTGCTACCTTTGTGATACTTACTGATTTGCTTGATTATTTTGAGGTCAGATTTTACATAGTTTCAGTTCTTTTAAATCTGTTGGGATTTGTTTAATGGCCAGCATAAGATTTATCTTGATAGCTCTGTGGGTGCTTGAAAAGAATGTGTATTTGGCTGGTGTTGGGTGAGATGCTCTATCAGTGGTGGTGATGGTGGTAGTACCTGTGTATACTTGCTGGATTTCTATTTAATGGGTTTATCACCTGGTTCAGAAAAGGATCACTCAGGTGCACTAACAATGGCGGACGTGTCCATTTCTCCTTTCAGTTCTATCAGTGCTGCTCTGTTTCGTGCTGTGTTGTTAGGGACACTCAGTACTGTTACACAGTACCTTGGTGAGCTGACTGTTGTTTCTCTTTTCCTTCGTTTTCTGTGCTCTGAAGGCCACTTGACCTGTTAATGATCCTGCCACTATAACCTCTTCTCGATTTAGGTTTTCAAGGTGCACTCCCCTCATTTTATTTACTTTAGTGTGGGGTATATGTGCATATGTGCTCATCTGTGCAGGTGTATATGGAGGTCAGGGGTTGATTTCAGAATGTCTTTCTTAATCGCCATCTTATTTTTTGAGACAAGGTCTTTCACTGAACCTACAGTAAGTATGCCATTTTGGCTAGACAGGCTGGCCAGGGAGTCCTCGGGAACTCTGTTTCCCACCTACCCCAGCACTAGGTTTACAGGCATGCATTGCCATGCCTGGCTTTTACCTGGGTGCTGGGGATCTGAACTCAAATCCTCATGCTTGCACAGCAAGCACTCTGTTGCGCCATCTCCCCATCTCCAACCTTATTTACTTTTAATATTATAAGACTTATAGAGCATATTATTGCAACTGTGGTTCTTTTATGAAAGTCCAACCAGGTGGTGGCCTAGACTTTCCTCTTGATCCTGCATCTGCCTCCTAACTAAAATTAAATCCTATATAGTGTGGCATAGAATCTGCTCTCTAGGAAAAGTCACAAATTCTGCTTTCAATGGCATCACTCAATTACCTCTATAAATTCAAATGCAAACCCCATGGGTACAATTTTTTTTTTTTTTTGAGAGGAGTGTGTATATTCCTCTGTGTGCCCATGGAGGTTCAAAGTTGATGCCTGGTATTTTTCTTGATTGCCCTCTATTTATTGAGGCAGGGTCTCTTGCTAAATCCAATCCAGAGCTCACAAATTCTGGCTAGTCTAACTAGCCAGTTTACCCTGGATCTCCTGTTTCTGCCTCCTGAATGGTAAGATTACAGGAGGCCTCCATGCCTGCCCACCTTTCACATGGGTTCAGGGGCTCCTTATGTTCACGTGGATAGCATTTTACTCACTGAACCATGTCCACATCCCCCCATGGGTACAATTTTGTGATACCAACAAAAAAGCTCTTACTGTTTTCTCCCTGTACTGGGAACCGCAATGTGAGCCTTGTACGTATTAGACAAGTGCTCTGCAACTGAGCTACATTCCCAGACCCAGGTTCATTTACTCTTGGCCCTTTTCTTCTCTCACTTCTTATAGCTGTCTCATAGTCCATGTACACACGTGGACAAAGTTAGAAGTTTTGCTTTTATCAGCCAAACTCAAGTTGAAGAACTCAAGAAGAACTGGGCATGATAATACACACCTATAATCCCATCATTCAAGAGGCCGAAGCAGGAGAATTCTAAGTTTAAGGCAATCCTTGGCTATACTATGAGACATTGTCTAGAAAACAAACAGAAACCAAAACAAAGAAACCAAAAAGACCACCTAAGGAGAACGTAGCCTCTTACATTTACTCAGGTGCTTAATCCTTTCTTTAGCAAGTCTTCCATAGGTGACTGTCAGCAACAATTTTCCTTTAACCAAGAATATTCTATTTTACTCTTAAATGATAATTTCTTTGGATAGGGAATTCTTGTTTAAAAGTTCTTTTCTTTCTTTACTATGTTAAAATTAAGACTGTGGGAAATGGCCTAGGTTTGCTGAGATGTCTCTCTCCCCTGTCCCACTGAGATTGCCATTTCCATGCGTGTGTGGAAATGCCAATACAGGTGGTCTCCTAAACTTTGACCGTCTAAGAATAGTAAACTGGGGGACAGGGGTGGGGTGGGGGAAACAACATACACCTTTAACCCCAGCACTCAGGAGGCAGAGGCAAATGGATCTTTGTGAATATGCCTGGGCTATATAGTTAGACCCTGCCTCAAAGCAAACAACCAACAATGAACTTGAATAGCTGATACACAATATTTGATTTCAACAACTCATTTTATAAAATAGTCATTTTTCCTTGGAAAAATTAGGTGAAGAGGATAGAATACTCTATGTGACCATACAACACACAATCAAGCTGGAAAAAAGAACTAATGACTGTGTATTTGCTTTGTTTGCTTATTCGTGACACAGGTCTCATGTAGCCCAGGCTGACTCTGATCTCCCAATCTTTCACCCTCTGCCTTGATTATGAGTTTGCGTCCCCATGGCTTCATACATTTGCTTTTTAAAAATGTCATTTTGAGTCCACAGTGCAGTGGTACATGCCTTTAATCCCAGCAGTCAGGAGGCAGAGGTAGGTGGAGGTCTGTGAGATTGAGACAAGCCTAGGCTACAGAGCAAATTCCAGGACAGCTGAGGGTACTGGGAGATCTTGTCTCAAAAAAAAAACCCAACACCCAAAACGAAACCGTCATTTTGACAAATTTCAGGTAAAATGTCACTTTTAAAGGGTCTCCTTTCATTTAGAGCTATAGTGGTTGGTAATTTTCAGATGCATTGTGGAGGGGAAAGACAAATCTAAGTGCCCTCTTATCTATTGGCAGTTTGGATGGTATGAGTTCATCCCTACCGAAAAATACATACTTTGTGACTTAACGAATATTAAGATCCAGTGTCTATGGCCATATCAGCTGATATACTACAGCCGGCACTATTGAAAC